ATGAAAACCAAAAACGATGACCCACAAAACAATGAAACACGAGAACCCCCCAAGCAATGAACCACGATAACCCCCAAACCAATGAAAAACGAGAACCCCCCAAACAATGAAAAACAAGCACGAGAACCCCCAAAACAATGAAAACCCTAGAACCCCCCAAAGAATGGAAACCAAGAGCCCCAAAAACCACGAACAGCAAAAACGATAATTCCCCAAACAATGAATGAAACACAATCACGAGAATCCCCAAAACAATGAAAACCCTATAACCCCCAAACTAAAGAACACCGAGAGTCCCAAACACAACGAAAAGCAAAATCGAGAATCCCCAAAACAACGAAAACCCTCGAGCCCCCAAAACAATGAAAACCCTGGAACCCCCAAAGCAATGAAACACGATAACATCAAAAACAATGAAAACCCTACCCAAAACAATGAAACACGAGAACCCCCAAAACAATGAAAAACAAAAAGATTCCCCCAAAAACAATGAAAACTCTAGAACCCCCGAGACAGTGGAAAACGAGAATCCCCAACACAATGAAAAACAAAAACGAGAACCCCCAAAACAAGGAAATCTCTAGAGCCCCCAAAACAATGAAAATCAAGGACCCCCAAAACAATCAACAACAGAAACCAGAACCCCCGAAACAATGAGAACCTTGGGAAGAATCAAGGCATCTTGCCTTCTCGCACAGTCTGGGGGGTTCTCTTGGGAGGCTTCTGGGCTGTCCCGGGGGCCTCTTGGGCTGTCTGGGGTTCGGGGGCCGTTTTGCTGCCCTCTCTGGGCCGCCTTGTTCGGCTCTCTTGAGGGCCTCCCAGGGCCCTCTTGGGGCTCTCTTGGAGGCCTCTTGGGGGTCCCTCTTGGGCCCTTCTTGGGGCCCTCTCGGGCCGTCTTCGGACTCTCTTGGGTCGTATTGGGGCCCTCTTGGGGGCTTCGTGGGCCGTCTTGGTGTGCTTTACCGAGCCTGCTGGGCCGTCGGAAGCCGAAGCATGCGGGAGCAACACCCGAGGAACATCAATGGCTTTGACCTCCTGAGGCCCTCCTGGGGGGTCCTCGCGAGCATCTTGAGGACAGGAGGAGGAGGAGGAGGAGGAGGAGGAGGTGAGGAGGAGGAGGAGGAGGGAGGAGGAGGAGGGGCCGTCTTGGGCCCCCCGAGCGTCCGGAGAGAGAGCGGAGCCCCACGGCGCCGAATGGCATCTTGGGCCGTCTTGGGGTCCTGTTGTCCTCCTCCATCCTCCTCCTCCTCCCTCCTCCTCCTCCTCCCTCCTCCTCCTCCTCCTCCTCCTCCTCCTCCTCCTCCTCCTCCTCTTCCTCCTCCTCCTCCTCCTCCTCCTCCTCCTCCTCTCCTCCTCCTCCTCCTCCTCCTCCTCCTCCTCCTCCTCCTCCTCTATCTCCTCTATCTCCTCCTCTGCCTCTTGAGAGGTCAAAACTGTCAGGAGGGAACAAAAACACACAGACACAATTAATCGTCGATTCCAGAGAAGATATGGGAACATATGGGAAGTGGGGGGGGGAGACAAAAGCCCAGAACATATGGGAGAATAGGGGGGATCTTTTTTTTTTTTTATGTGTGTGTATTTATATATACATATATATATATATATATGTGTGTGTGTGTGTGTGTGTGTGTCCCAGGGCCCCTTCAGATTGGTTGTTCAGGGGGGCCTCTTTAGAGGTCAAGAAATCCACCCCCAGAATAAGCACCCCGACACGCGAAGTCGTTTAGTACACGCGCCCAGACAATGAGTCGAAGAGGGCAGGGCTCTCTGGTCAACGCCCAGGGCCGTGTAGTAAACGCCGATTGTCCAGTCCTGGTGGTTTTTCTTCCCTTGACTCTCGGGCCGTCTTGGGGGGAGGGGTGGCGCGCGTTACCTGGGCCCCGTTCCTGTTCCCCCTCCCTTGGAACCCCTCCCAAGAGGGCTTCGCCCCACCAGAACGTCATCGCTCGTACCTCGCTCTTTCCGCCACCTGGTGAGGATTGCGCAGGGATGCGAGGAGCAGAGGAGATGCAGAATCAACACAAGCAGCATTCGCGCACGGCCGCATGCACACACACAAGCACACACACACACAGACACACACACACGCACGACAGACTCCCGAAGCAACATACGGTCGCCAGACGGCCTGTGGATTCGGCTTCCTCTTATACTGGCATGCCACCGAATTGTCTGCACCTTTTTCTTTAAGCCTGCGCTTGCCTGCGAGGAAGGCTCTGCCGTCCTCCAGGGCATGCCGCCCCGCTTGTACAGGTCCCGCTCGGCGTGCGGAATGGGTGGGTGCTCCGTCTTGGTGCATCTCCGGGCAGCCCGAGCCACAGGTAAGGTAGCGATGGTCGACAGATGCGTACTCCCATCCTTCTCTTCCCCCCCTCTCTCTCTCTCTCTCTTCCTTTCCCCTTTGGGGCGCAGCTCACGCGAAGTCGTGCCTGTTGAGCAAGAGGCGTACCCTCGTTGTGGGACCGTGTAGCACCTTGTGGGAACACGGCTCCAAATCCGTAACTCCCGTTTCCGAGGTTTGCTCAGTTTGTTGAGCATCGGTGTTACATTTGACAGGGAATGCGCCCCTCAGCTGGGCTCGAGTTTCTTGGCCCATCGGGTTCTTAACCAAAGCCCCTCCGTATGCCTGTGGTGGTGGCTGCCTTGGGTACCAATGCGGGCTGCAAGTCCTAGTGCGCGCCGAAGAAAAGGCAGATTGTCTTTCAGCGCCGCTTATCGAGCATCCTCGTTACAGTTGTCGTGGGTCTGTCTTGCCACCCGCCTGCATCGGGCACGGAGACCTGCTGTCACTGATCCTTGTCTTTCTTCTCCAGCCCCTCCTCCTCCTCCTCCTCCTTGTCCGCCTCCTCCTCCTTGTCCGCCTCCTCCTCTTCACCCTCCCAAACCCACACACACACACATCCTGTCTCTACTTCCCTTCTCGTCGTTCTGCCTCCCCCTCCTCCCATCCACTTCTACCCCGATCCACATCTCGTCATCATTCCCCCTTTGTCCTACCTCTCCTTCGCTTCCTGCTTCTCCTACCTCTCCCTCTCCACCTGCCCACACACCTCTTCCCTCCTCCGCCCCCTCTTCCTACAGGTCCCTTCGCCCCTCCTCACGGTCCTCCTCCTTCTCGTCCCTCCCCCTCCTCCGCTTCCGCCATCTCTTCCCTGTCCTCGCCCTTCTCCGAGACGCCTTCCCCTCCTCCCTGATCCGCGCACACCGTCCACGGGCTGAGGAGGAGGAGGAGGAGGAGGAGGAGGAGGAGGAGGAGGGGAAGCAGGAGGAGGAGGAGGAGGAGGAGGAGGAGGAGGAGGAGGAGGAGGAGGAGGAGGAGAGGCCGATGGGGGGAGAGGGAGGAGGAGGAGGAGGAGGAGGAGGAGGAGGAGAGGAGGAGGAGGAGGAGGAGGAGGGAGGAGGAGGAGGATTGGGATCCGGAGAAGCAGGAGGAGGAGGAGGAGGAGGAGGAGGAGGAGGAGGAGGAGGAGGAGAGGGAGCAGGGAGAGAGGGCACGAGGGGGGACGAGGGACGGGGAGGTGGGCTGGAACGGGAGGACAGAAGGGAGAACGGGGTGGAGCAGGGGAGGACGGCGAGGGGTGAAGGCGTGAATGGAGAGAGTCGGGGACGGGAGAGAGATTCCGACGGCAGCGAGGGTGTAGGGATGGGGGTGCTGAGGGAGGGATGATGGTGGGGCGGAGAGCGGAGGGGGAGCAGGGCGGTGTATTTTCAGATCCTGCTGCAGAGCGCCTTCTACGCGTTGCGCACATGACGAAGTCCATATTCCCACATCGCCGATTTGGTGCAGCGTTCTCAAGTTGTGATCGCGGCGCCGCATGGCGATGCTGGCGCTCAGAGTGCTGCATGCAGGCAGCGACAATAGGATGCGTGGCTGAGCCAGTACCTCGTCGTCGGTATCACTCCTTCTCACCGTGGTGGTGATGGTGGTCAGCGTCGTCGTCGTCTTCCTCCTTCCTCATTCCTTAGGGTCCAGCTCGACGTTGTGATTCGGGTTGCGGGAGGTTGGAAGTTACGTCATGCAGTCGGTAATCGGTCCCCCCGTCTCACGCCCACCCACCCACCCGCCATGCACCCTCAACCCCCACCCCCTCCCGCCCCTCCACCAGCACTCCCACGCCCCACCCTACTTCCGCCCCTCCTCTCAGCCGGGCCCGCCCACCTCTCCGAAGCGCCCCCCTCTGTCTCGGCCACGCGCAGAGGGGGGGAAGGGGGAGGGGGGAAGGCTTCTCAGAGGCACCCCTGCTTCTTGGAAGGCGCGTGCCCTGTCTGTAGACGCAGGGCCGGCGCCTTCTATCACAAGCAGGATGTTTCTGAGAAGCCTTCCCCCCCTCCCCCGAACCCCTCTGCACGCGCCGCCGACTGTCGGCCCGCCCCCCCCGTCTCCCGGCCCGCCCCCTCCTGGGGCGCCGCCGGGGCGCCGCCAGGGGGGCACAGCGCAGATCCGAGAAATCCGCGCGTATATAGCGCCACAAGTTGTGCTTGTGACGTCGCTTCTTCCTCCGCCTTCGGTGTGGCACGCGGTCCACGTCTCCGCTTCCAAGCGCCACTGTCCCGAGCCTCCCCCTCCTCCTCCTCCTCCTCCTCCTCCTCCTCCTCCTCCTCCTCCTCCTCCTCCTCCTCCTCCGCCGCCTCTTCCTCCTCCAATATGATCCTCCTCCTCCTCCTCCTCCCCCTCTCCTCCTCCCCTCCTCCTCCTCTCCTCCTCCTCCTCCTCCTCCTCCTCTCCTCCTCCTCCTCCTCCCTCTCCTCCTCCTCCACTTTTCCTCCCTCCTCCTCCTCCTCCTCCTCCTCCTCCTCCCTCTCCCTCCCTCCTCCTCTCCTCCTCCTCCTCCTCCTCCTCCTCCTCCTTCCTCCTCCTCCTCCTCCTCCTCCTCCTCCTCCTCCCCCCCCAGGCAGCTGCTGCGCCCGCGGGCTGGACGCCGGCGCGCTGCAGTGCCGCCCGGGCTCGCCCTCGGCCCCGGGGCCGCCGCTCGCTGCGCGGCCGGCGCCGCCGCGAGGCCGGCGCCGCCCGCTGGCGGCGGGCCCGCGCGCCTGTGGCGCGCGGCCCCCGCGGCCGCGGCCGCGGCAGGCGCGGCCGCGCCCGGGGCGCGGGCGCGCGCGGGCCTGGCGCAGGGGGGGCGCCGCCGCGTGGAGCAGCCAGCTCCTGGCACGGGGGCGGACAAGCTGGAGCGTTCCGCCACGCGCAGAGAGGGGCTCTCGCCGGGCGCGTGCCACTGCTCGCGAAGTGCCTACTCGCAGACGTGCGAAAACAAGGATGTCTGCTCAGATTCTCGCAGGTCTCCCCCAGCTGATCCAGGCCATTTGCGAGTAGTCATGCTGCGAGTCGTGGAATGCGCTCGTCTAGGTTAGGGTGAGAGGGGGGGAGGCTTCTTCGAAGCACCCCTGCTTCTTAGAAGGCGCGGGCATGATCTGTAGATGTTCGGCCCGCGCCTTCTGAGAAGCAGCTTCCTTCTAAGACGCCTTCTTTCCTCCCCCAACCCCCCTTCTGCGCGCCGCCAAAGCGTGAATGTCGAGCAGTGGCGAGGCGTCCTGGCTTGCCCATAGGCCCACCGAATAATGTTATATGATCCTTTTGTTGTCTGCACGAAATGCTAGTAGATCAGTTCTGGCTGTGGCCACCTTGTTTAAACACATATGGTTTTTGTACTCAGAACATATCAGAACACGTTTGGTTTCTATGAGGACATGTCGTGGTAGGCCTATAGGAATGCCGGGACGGTCGGTCCCTGTTCAAGGGCGGGGGGGAGATCATCAGAGGAGGAAAAGGTGCCGATACTGCTCATTCTAGCCCTTCTCTCGTGTTCCCCCTTGTGGGCCTCCTTGGAGGCCCTCGTCGCCACCGCTGGATTCGCCTCGAAATCCTAGTCAGAACGCGCCCCTGGGAGAGGTCCGGGGAGTGTCGGTGGCGGTACGTGCTGGCTCCCCCAGAAAATGAGGAGAAGGGACAGCGTGTCTCCTGGGCTCCCAGGCCGGGGTCCGAGCAGGTGGGATCGGGGGATCGCGCCGCATCGCTGGTGCATCGGCGATGCGGCTCAATGTGGAGCCCGATGTTCTCCACGTCGACGGCGCCGAGGGTGCTGGGCGTGCTTCTGCTCGCCCCAGGAGCGCTTCCTCAGCAAGGCGGGCGCGCTGAGCAGGACGCAGGCCAGGACGAGGGTGCAGCAGGGCGACGTGCAGGTCAACGGCCGGCAGGTCCTGGACCCCTGGCACATGGTGCGCCCGGGCGTGGACGTCGTGGAGGTTGCGGGTCTGGGCGCGGTGCAGCTGCCAGACTGGGAGGAGGTGCCTCCCACCGTGGTGCTTTTCAACAAGCCCGCGGGCGTGATGGTGACGCTCAACGAGAGCGACCCCTGGCTGCGCGACAAGCACCTGCCCCTGAACCACGCGCTGCCGCAGCCGTGGCGCGACCTCCTCGCCCCTCACGTGCCCGCGCTCAGACCCGTCGGGCGGCTCGACCTGGCCAGCGTAGGGCTCCTGTTGCTGACGGACTCGTCGCACCTCGCCGCGACGCTGACGACCCCAGGCAACTGCGACAAGGAGTACCTGCTGAGGGTCTCACCGGCGCCTACGGAGACGGGGCTGCGGCAGCTCCGCGAGGGCGTGCACATCAACGACGGCAACGCCAGCAGAGGGAAGACGCAGGCCTGCGACGTGGCCGTGGTCGAGAGCAGCGCCGACGGCGCCGTGCTGCGCTTCAGGATCTCCGAGGGCCGCAACAGGCAGCTGCGGCGGATGTGCAGCGCCGTCGGCTTGAAGGTGCAGTGGCTTCTGCGCACCCGCGTCGGCCCGGTGAAGCTGGGATCGCTGCCGCTGGGCGGGGCCCGGGAGGCCACTGCGGAGGAGCAGCCAACTCTCCTGCGCTGCAGCGGGAGGGGCACGCAGGAGGAAGATGGAGCGCATAAGCATATTAGTCGGAGGTCTGCGTGGATGTCTTGGATCGGCGCTGGGATCCCATGGCGGTGCCTCCGGCGCCGCCCCAGGCGCGCCCCGCCTTCGGGGAGCAAATCCAAGAACTTCGTGCGCGGACCTCTGACTGCTTATGTTCAAGCTGTCCTTCTTTTCAGCAGGGCTCCGATCCGTGGGATCGTAGCTGGTTTGAGACGTCCGGTTTGAAACGCAACACATGCCGTGCTCAACACGTACGTGTCAATACGTTCCGTGTTGGCTCGGCGTAGTGGCCAACGCTTTGGCGAGGTATCGCGTCAGATCTACGCTTTCAGCGCTCGAGAGAAGGAGGAAGTCGAGGCGAGGAGGAGGTGGAGGAGGAGGAGGAGGAGGAGGAGGAGGAGGAAGGAGGACAAAAGTGGAGGAGGAGGAGGAGGAGGACAAAAGTGGAGGAGCAGCGAGGAGGAGGAGAGGAGGAGGAGAGAGGAGGAGAAGGAGGAGGAGGAAGGAGGAGGAGGAGGAGGGGGAGGGGGAGGAGGAGGAGGAGGAGGAGGAGGAGGAGGAGGAGGGGAGGAGGAGGAAGGAGGAGGAGGAGGAGGAGGAGGAGGAGGAGGAGGAGGAGGTGAGGGGGGGGGGTAGCTCAGCGTGAGACAGGCCCAGGCCTGCCCTCCGCAGCAGCAGGGGAGCGTCTCAGCACGAGGTCGGAGGGGGAGCTGCAGCACCCGACAAGAGGACCAGGAGGAGCAGGCGGAGGAGAGGGGGGGTGGGGGCAGAGGAGCGAGCGGAGGAGGGGCTCTGCAGGCGGAGGAGAGGGGAGAGGGGAGAGGAGAACAGCGAGGAGAGGCGGAGGAGCAGGAGGAGGCGGAGCAGGCGGAGCGGCAGGCGGAGGAGACGGCGGAGGAGCGCGGGCGGCGAGGGGGAGCGACTCCTGTCCTTCCCCCCCGCCCAGTGTAGAGGGCCTCCGGCCGGCCTGTGCCGCCGACCCTGGGGGCGACGACGAGGAGGGCGACGAGGAGGAGGGGGGAGGGGGAGGAGGGGGAGGAGGAGGAGGAAGGAGGAGGAGGAGGAGGAAGATGAGGAGGATCGGGAGGAGGAGGAAGAGGCGGAGGACGCGGTGGAGCAGCAGGAGGAAGAGGAGAATGCGGAGGAGGATGAGGAGAGGGAGCTTCCCTCTCCCCCTGTTCCCTTTCCTCGTGCAGGTTGGGGTGGGGGGCGGGGGGCGTTGGGGGACGCGTCCTGCACATCTTCCTCGTCCCATTCCCCTCCGTTCCTGCCGTCCTCTCCCCGCCGTTCCTCCCTCGATCTCCCCGCCTCCTGCTCCTCGTCCTCGTCGTCGTTGTCGTGATCCTCCTATTCCTTCTCTCTTCCTCCCTCCCTTCCTCCCTTCTTCACTCCATCCGCGTTGTGCTCTACATCCTCTCATTCCCACCCCTATCTTCTTCATGCATTCTTCCCCTGACCCGCCTCTTTTTCCCTTTGTCTGTGCCCCTTGCTTTTTTTCTCTCTCTCTCTCTCTCTCTTCAACCTTGTCCCTCCTGCCTTCCCTTCTCGCTCCTTTTGTCTCCGCCGTCAATCCCTCCTCTCTCCTTTCTCCTGGTCTCCTTCAAATGACGAGAGCGCACAAGCGCAAGCCGTCAAAGTTTCTTGTTGCGGCGCCTATCTCTGAGGTCCGGGTGGCCGAGTGGTGACGGAAAGGATGGGGACGAAGGCCGACACCATGTCATGCCCCTTTCGAATCGGAGTCGTTGTTCGTGTTTCCGTGTCGCCGCGGACGTTACCAGTTCGAGGCGAGCGCATCTTGGAGCCGCTGCCGGTTTGGGGCATCATTCGTTGTTGGGCATCGCGTCAGCTGTATTCCGTCCCCACTGCGGGCGTGCCAATCCGCAGGCCTTCCGAGTGGGGCTGGAATGGATGGGGGCGGAGCACCGCGCCGCAACGCCGATGCATCGGCGATGCGGCGCGACACGGTGTCCAAGGTTCTCCAGCCCGACGTCGCGCGTGCCTTGGCGATGCATCGGCGGTGCGGTGCGATCCTCCGACACGTTGGGAGGCAAACTCTGGCGCCACGTTGGCAGCCCCCCTCAGTTTTCTCACCACCCACCGAACCACCCCAACCCAACCCGAAGCCATCAATCTGCCCTCCATTTCCAGTTTGGGGGGGGCGGGGAACATCGAAAAAACACATGTGGAACCCTTACCCCCCCAACCCGGAATTCGGGTCTTCGGGTTGGGTTGGGGTGGTCTGGTAAGTAGTCATTTTCGGGGTTTCGAAAGGTGTCCTTGGCCCAGGGTGTCCCCAGCTTGTCGCTCCACTGTGGAGCCCCAGGGGTCCTCTGGGCCTCGTGTGGGGTGGGTGCTCGGGAGACCGTTGGGACCTCTGAGGGAATCATGGGGGGCACCACGGGTCAGGGACGCCTCCTGGCAACACCTCCAGAGAGAGGGCCATCTGCTTTGTACTGTCTTGAGTCGCACGGCGGATGAGGTTGAGTGGATAGTCCGGCGGTCCGCTCTTTTGATTTCACATACACGCACCACACAGAGAAACAAACAAACAGTTAAAACAACGAAAGTCATCCTCCCGCCCCTGGCGACCCCGCCGCGCAGGAACAGTCCGCCCTCCTGCGGGTCGCGTGAGCCGCCCGGCCGCGGAGGCCTTCGTGTGGGCAGCGGGTGGTGCGCCGCCCGCGTCGCGGCCGCCGCCGGCGTCGTCGCGGAGGGCGTCGTCGTCGTCGTCGAGCTCCGCCTCTTGCCCCTGCGCTCCTCCTCGCCGCCCCGAGGGCAGCGAGGAGAAATAGGGGGGGGGGGGCTGGAGGGCTCCTCGCTGCCCCGAGGCTAACAAGGAGGAGCGGGGGAGGGCGATGGATGGACGTGCCATCCAGCCTCCAGCCCCCCCCTTGCCACTTCCCACTCCTCCGTGCTCCGCCTCCCGCCCCCTCCAGCCCCCTCATTCCTCCTGCCCGCTCCTGCCTCTTCCTCGTCGTCCTCGTCGTCGTCGTCCTCCTTCTCCTCCTCCTCCTCCTCCTCCTTCTCCTCTTCCCCAGACCTCCTCCTCCGTAGCCATTTTGGCTCAAGGTGCATTTTGCCCGTGGCAGAGCACGGATACCGCTGATCCGTGGCAGTCTCGTACCTATGTTGCAACTGACGCTAGACTGTGCGTTTGTGTTCCGCCCGGAATTTTCTGTGAGCTCTTGCAGGGGCACAGTCTAGTCACGGCTCGGCGTCGTGAAGCGTCCTGGCACAAGAATCAGTCGTGGTTCGGTGGCGGATGGTGGAAGCGGCCAACGTCGCCCCCAATGACCTTGCTGCACTGGCTCAACAGTTGCAGGCGCTTGCCACCAAGATCCCAACGATGGCGGGGTTGCTCAAGACCGCCGTGGCGGGCGCCATGCTCAAGACGGCCAGTGCACCCCAGCCTGCCACTGCCGCTGCTAAGATGGACAATGGAGTGGCCTCTCGTCGTGCTGTTTTGGCGAAGGCGGTCGAGACGGCGACCAAGAAGGAGCGCGCTACCCAGTCGGAGGTCGAGAACTGCTTGGCGTCGCTGCGCATGTGCCGCGAGGCGGCTGGGCCTGCTGAGCGTGCCCATGACGTTGCTAATGCGTGGCTCACGATGGTCACGGCCGGCGTCAAAGACGCAGGTGGACGCGAGCAATGGTTTCGTGGAGGCTGAGTTCTGTGACGGAGTTCGTGCTGATGACGGTGAAGCTCATTTGGATTGTCAGCGTGCCAGTGAGGCTGGGGCTCGCGATGCTTTTGGGGCTTGCGCCGAGTGTGGGCAGCCAGGTGTCGAGGGTGCAGGCGTTGCGGGCCTTCGCCCACTGCAGCGCCAGCGCGCCGCTCGCGGACGTTCCCTGGCAGCCGCCGCCACGCCTGGCGCCGGCGGAGGCGCTGCCCAGGCCCAGCCAGCCCTTAGACCGAGGTCCCCCAGTGCCAGGCTTCGCACAGCTGGGAGGAGCCGGCTGGCTGTGGACCCAGGAGCACCTTAAAGAAGTCCCATCTCAGCTTAGCCCGATGGCCGGACATGCGCAAGGCCGCGATGTCGCAGCGGGCTGAGGTTGAGAGAATTTTCTTGATAATGGCAGCGACGCTAGCAGAGCAGGAACTTGGAGAGCTCGGGGACTGACGCTAACGTGGCGCAGAAGGCGGGCTGGATGCACCTCCCCCTCAGTGCTACGGCGAGCTTGTCAGCGAGCAGGCCGTGCAGCGCGCCGCCAGGAAGGCTCGGCGCGCCGCGCGGCGTCCGAGTGCGCGCGCGGGCCACCCAGGTGGAGACCAGCCCTGTAGCACTTGCTGGCGGGGCCAGCCGGGCGCAGAGTCTCTGGCGAGAGGGGGCCTAAGCGCCTCGGTCGAGATCGGAAGCGCCATCCCGACCCCGCGTTCCTGTTCAGACATCGCCAAGTCGTTTTTCTGCTCGCTCATCTTTCCGAGGCGGCTGCAGCGCTCGACGCAGAGCATCCGGCCCGCGAGGAGAAGGTGTTGAAGGCCAAGGGCGATGTTCGCGGGATGGGTTGGAACCAGTTGTTTCATGAAACTTTGGCGTCCGCAGGAGGTGGATCTCACGGGGGAATCGCGCGTTTTGTGCGCGGCGGTTTGCAGTTCCAGAGGTTTCTCGGGGGCGTTGTCCGAACCGCCTTTGCGCTTGTTTTTTGCTGCTGAAGCAGAACTTGCACGCTTCGTGCATGGCCGTTCGAGTTGTGCACTTAGAATGCACTCTGGGAGCTGTCGGCTAGAAATGGGCGCGTCTTCAGCAGACTTCTGACGTTGTGAACAGCTTGTCCGCGCCCTGGGTTCTGCGCGGGGATGCCAGCGTGAACCCTAGATTGTTGAGGGGATGCAGTGTCTTGGTACTGACGTGATCGAGGGCTGCCGTGCTGTCTGGCAAAGAGCTGGCGTGCATCTCTGGATGCGCCTCGGCAGGCTACGCGGCTTGCTCGGCGGACGCGGCTCGCATGTCCGAGCGCGTGCAATTCCCGGCCCCCCTTTTCAAGGCCCACGCACGTTTGCGCGCAAATGCCCCCGCGGGCGTTTCAGACCGGGCGGTCTTGCGCAGGCGCCGCGCAGCTGAGTTCCCCGAGGCATTTGGGCCAGGCCATCTCTAGCCACATGATTTCGATCCGGCGTGTCGGCGCAGATCTCAGGCGCACGTCCCTGGTGATTCGCGCGGAAGTACGTCGGGCTTCACCGCGGTGCGCGCCAATCTTTTCGGATGCAACTCTTGGGGGATCAAATTCTGATTTAGCCCTGGTCCGAAATCCCGCTTCATCCGGCTTAATCCCGCTCAATCTCGCTCAATCCCGCTGAATGCCGGTTCATCCGGCTCACTCCCGCTGGATCCGAGGCCCACTCTGGCGTGACAGC